AGTCATTTTCACAAATTTTTATATTCACTTTATTATGCAATCTTAATGATCATAAAGTTTTCTATACAAAAAAAATCCATAAAATACAACCCTATTTTATACTTTATTTGACTTTTCAACATAGTCTTGTGCTTAATCCTTTTTGTTTTTTAATCTCTAAAGTTATCCTTGATGTGACAACATTATCTTCCTCCTCATAATGATCACTTTTATTATCACTAAATAAATTTGTTAAATTATTTACCCTTTCATGCATTCTCCTCAGGAGATACAATCTTTATCTTCATTTCTTCACAAATGTTAGGCATTAATCAATTCAATGATCTATATCATGAACCCAGTCATAATATTCTTATTAATCTAGTACTTGATACCATAATTCATCATTTTATTTAATAATTAGGTTTTACCCAATATTTCATTAATAGTCTAACAAGTCGGTCTTCAAATGAATTGATACCACTAGCCCATTACTAGGCACTGGTTTCATTTTCGGGTTACTAGCTCTACAACATAGCTCATTACTGGACACTAACTCCATCACCATATTATTAGTGTTAACTACCAACACTTCAATCACTAAATATCATTATGTATTTATCACACACTTAATTTAACTATTTCATCATGTTTCCCATGCCTAATCTTATTTCATATCCCAAACATTAACCATGCACATACAATTTACATACATTGTCTTGTTGTATCCAATCCAACTCATGATTACATTAACACATAGTTTCATTGTATTCAATCTAACTTACAATCTCATTGGCATATAACCCTATCAAATATAATATCAACTCACAATCACATTTTAACATAGTAATTCTAAATTTTATAATTAAAAATTATATTAAATTTAGAAAAAAAAAACGAGATATCAAGCACCCACTTGTTGTATGTGTATGTGCTCCCACTCCATGTTGTTGTCTAGTCCTCGTAGCCCCCATTAAAAATTAGCAAGCTACTGTTCAATATGAATAAAATCCAAGAAGTTTTTTTATAATTTCCATCATCCTAATTAATAAAATATTTAGGCTTACCACATATTCAAAAATAGACATAATAAACAATGGAAAAGAGAGGAATTGGTTGATGATCGAAACTGCCTTATAGGGTGTTCTTTTCCTATGATATTACTGATAACAATTTTTATCAAATGGAAAATGGTCTTGCAGATTCCTCTAGAGAGATGATAGGCTGGTGAGAAGCATAATATATCCAAAAAGAAGCACTATCCAACAATTAATGCTGGAGATATAACTGTTAAAGCCTACTGTCTCCTATGGATTGACTTCTTTAAATTCTACACTTCTTTTTTTAGTTAAATTTTCTTTCTTGTTTATCCTTTTACCCTTTTTTTTGTATGGAATGGTTGGCCTATTTGTTGTTTTAAAGGTAATTTTATCATTAATTATAATTGTATCCCTTATTTGTGCCTTTATATATTTTATTTTATTTTTCAAATAAACTTTCTAGTTTTTCTGCTTAAATCATTAGTTTTTATTGAATCGAAAATTGAGCTGGGATCTTAAACCAAGGTAGGATAGTATATTAATAAATCCCATGCAAAATTATACCCTTATCTAATGGTTGGATTGTGAGCTTTACTCTTTAGCATAAAATTAGTTCGTTGGTGACTTTTCATTAACAATTTATTTTTTTTTATTCAATTCTCATATAAATTATATCAATTATTCTTATAAAACCTTAGGGTTATTTTATTGTTTTGAAATATATTTATTTTAATTTTTTTTTATTTGTTTATTAAGCTTATTATTATTTAAATGTAATGTCCTGTTTTTTTGTTGCACTGTTATTTTTTATTACCTCATTTAATTTTTAAAAATATTTTATTATTTTATTATTATTTTATTCATTGAAACGCATTATTGATTTCATTGTCGTTATAAATTCTAAACAAAATTCATTTTATAGAGACCATCCCCTCTATTATACATCATAATAATAATAATAATAATAATTATTTATCCATTTTTTTTAATCTTTATTTTCATCACTCTTGCTACTTTCAGTTTTATATTTACAGGGAGTTTGATACCCAAAACCAAACTTTCTCCTCCTTTTCTTTCTTCCTTAAAAGCAGCAGCAACAACCCTAATTTCCTCCCAAGAGTTTTCTTCATTCCTAAACCGAATTCCTTTAAAACCCCTTTTTAATCTCTTCTTCTCTTATGTCTAGTGTTTAAGTTGGTGTAATTTGAGGTGGAAAAACAAAAAACAAATCACACAAACCCTCTCTTTTTCTTCACCTTCCAGTCGGCCATGAATTGCTTCCTAAGAAAGCCATTCATGTATTTATACCCCTCGTTAATTCTATGTCTATAGTAGTCCCTTAAGTTCCCTTTTTAACCCTGCTTTTTTATTTCCTATTTGATTCAAATCTTTTTATCATCAATTGATATCAATCAATTTCACCCCTTTTAATTAATTTCATTTATTCATTTATATCTTTTTAAATTTCTAGTTTGATTAGTAATTTTAATAATTCACTTATCCAATAAAATTTTGACCAGGATTTACAACGGTAGCGTGCTGGCGAAATTGTTCTCGGGCATTGGGTGATTGAGAGCTGAGTACGTCGGGTTGTTTCGGGTTTTCGTTTCCTTCTTTCTTGGAGACATTGCTAGGAAAAAAAACATGGGAGAGCACACATTTTGCTGCTGTGAATCAAGCCCGCCTGTTGGTATGCAGGCTTGGTCTTGCCTCTTCGTCTTCTTGGCTGTGTATGGATGTCTTTTAGCTGCAATGGGCTTCTTTGCTTCTAGATTTCTCTTCACTTCCTTCGGCTTCTCTGCTGCCGGCTTCCTGCTGCAAGCGGCTGATGGTTTGTTTCTGGCTGCACCGGGCTCTGTTTTGTTGCTGGTGTTGGCTTAGAGAAAATGGCGTGTAATCATAATCGTGCATTAAATGAAAAACCCAATTGCTTAGGCCCTTTCCCCTTTAGCAGTATGGGCAGAGCTGCTGCTTTCTCAGTCGGATTGGACGTTTTTCAGGGTGTTTGCTTTTGGTTTGGAAAATTCAGTTCCTTTGCCTCTCATTAGCCTTCCTATGCTGTCGGGAGGGCCATTGGTTAGTTTGTTTTTCTACTGTTCTCCTTTGTTTTGCTGGTCTATTTTGTTAATAATTTTCTTTAAGTGGCATGCTACTGTTGCCATTGGGTTTTCCATGCTTTCATGTCTTTTCTTTTCAGCCTGTAAGAGCACGTTGTTTTGGGGTCATTTTCGGGTTGCCATTTCCTTTCGTTCTTCTCTTTTAGGTCTGCATCATTTTCTTTTTTGGTTTGGGTAATTCTCTGTCATTGTTTCACCTGGTCGTTGTTTGTTGTTGTTCTTCTGCTTATTAATTCCCTGCCTTCTCAAATATGGCTGTTGCAGCTGAAATTCAAGCTGCCATGCGTTTGGTTAAGCTTTTTTCTATAGCCTCTCACCTCTTCAAACTTAGTAACCATGTATTTTTCTCAGAACTGCGGCCATCTTCCACATGCATGTACCATTTGCAGGAGATGAAAATGACCCAGAGCAAAATACCTCACCTGCAGATGACAAACCGACAGAACCAGCTGCGAAGCGACAACAGATCACGTCGCATTACCCTCCATAGGTGACGTCCTACACTATGACCTCTTGCTCACTTTTGATTCTGAACTCTCTCTACCTAACATCCCCTCATTAATAACCACAGATCAAATTCTTTATCTTTGCTTTTCATCGCTGCCACTTCTTGATACCTTTGTCATTGAATCCGCGCTACATTCCACACGGCAGATGATACATTATTTTTTCCATTTTGATTGCTTTCCTTGACAGAGCCACACCCTTGCTACACCTGCTTCTATTTAGTTGTTGCACAAGATCAGCATGAGATTTTGTTGCCTATTTATATTCCATGCATCAGCCTCCTCTGGCTTGCACTTTGTGTTACGCTAAATCTATAGCTTCCCCTTTATGGCCCTCCGATCCTTTTTTCGACTACCTCAAGCCTGTTTCTATAGTTTACTTACCGGTGATAAGGACATTCATTTGTGCTTTTGCATTGCTTATTCCCATTAAACTTCTGCATTATCCGATTGAAAAAAAACTAGTCCATGCATTCTTTGTTCTATATTATCAAAAACCTCCAGCATGCACGTTGATCGATCACTTAGAGTTTTCTCTTTGCACAGGGCAACTAACTTACAATTGATCGATCATCAATCATCACTTTTGGATGTTAAAAGGCTTTCAATCTCTCGTTGGCTTCCATTGCCTCTGTATGTATTAGCCAGCTGCTTATAAGCATTTTCGTGAACAGCCTTCCTCTTGACAAGTTGACGGCCTTCCTCTTGACAAGTTGACGGTTAAGGTTCCTCTCTGCGTTCTCGATCATGGCTCGATCAACATCACTATCTTTTTTTTCATGATCTCTTGTTCATTATATAGTTCTCTGCTTATGCGATTATTAACAAGTTCCAGTATGTTACTATTCATAACCAACTTTGTCGTCAACCTTTTTTAGTATTCTTTTTTGCTTAAACAGAAATTGGTTCCAAACATCATTTTTAAAGGCATTGAATTTTTTTCTCACTTAAAATTATTTTTTATTTTTGAATTATTTTAATATAATAAAGTAAATTTAAAAAAAAAAACAAAAAATATTATTTTAATACAATTTAAATAAAACATATTTTTAAAAATAATTACTACTGCCATGACAAATACTCCCTCAATCTTAATCACATATTTGGAGAATATTTTTTTTTATTGTCAAACTAATTAATTTATCATCTATTATTTTAAATCTGAAAGATGGATATTTCTTTCTATTTTAGTAAAAGAATTTCATAATTTTCTTAATAAAAATAATTTTAAAATATCAATAAATATCCGATAGGGAAATTGGAAACTGTTTGAGCAAATACAAAAACATTTTATTATTTTTCCAGAGTGACGACTAACGATTACAAATACATTGAAGTTTTCTTTTGTTTATTTATTTTTTAAATGAATATATAATAAAAGCAAACAAATATAATCAATCTGGGTTTGATCTCTGATAGCCGCTATCATCATCAAATCAGTAGCAAGGCATCATCATGTACAGAACTGCGGTTTCGCGTCTCAGTGCTCTCAAGGTCAGTTTCGTCTCCTAAATCTCTATTTCCTAAATCTGCCATGATTATTTTTTATGCCCAGATCTGTTCATAGACCTTTTCTGCCTGGTTTCTGAGAAAATTTCATTAAAAGATATGATTTTTTAAAGTCTTTACTGAAAACCCATTTAACATGCAATCGTAATTTGGCGTGGCTGAGCTCTCTGCTTGTTATTTTACCGGGATGCCACCCCTTGGGTTGGTGGGCCTAATGTGACCAAGAGAGATGCTTTCGTGTGATTAGGGCGGCCGTAGATATCCTACAAGATTTGCAAGTTCGAGTGCTGCAGCAGCCTTGCAATCGTCCTCTTCCAGTGGTTTATTCAGCTGGCTTACTGGGGGAAAGTCCAAGTCTTTGTCACCTCTAGACTTTCCACTTCAAGGAGTTGAACTCCCTTCCACTTCACCTGATTATGTTGAACCCGGGGTAACTAAGATTACAACACTTGGTAATGGCTTGCGAATTGCATCTGAAACATCACCGGTATTTATGCTTGTATCCTTTTCATTTCTCTTTTATTGCAGTTCTTTTTTTTTTAAGATGTTGTTTTTAGCTTATTGTTTATCAGTTAATGCACTTGTATACCAGAACCCTGTGGCGTCAATAGGGTTATATGTTGACTGTGGCTCAGTTTATGAGTCACCAGCAACATTTGGGGCCACTCACTTGCTGGAACGAATGGCATTCAAAAGCACAAGAAACCGCAGCCACTTGCGAGTTGTACGAGAAGTGGAAGCAATTGGGGGCGCTGTGCAATCCTCAGCATCCCGGGAGCAGATGGGATACACATATGATGCTCTAAAGACTTATCTTCCGGAGATGGTTGAGCTACTTATCGATTGTGTGAGGAACCCTGTCTTCCTTGATTGGGAGGTCAATGAACAGGTAAATCAACATTGTGGTGCCATTATGTATCTGCCACTCATCTTTATGAAATTGCAGATAGGTGGTGCTTATCCATGCGATATTCTGCCTCATGCAGCTTCAGAAGGTGAGAGCTGAGATCAGTGAAGCTTCAAAGAACCCTCAAGGTGTGCTTTTGGGGGCGATTCACTCTGCTGGTTTTTCTGGTGGTTTGGCTAATCCACTTTTAGCCCCAGAATCTTCAATAGATAGATTGAATGGTTCACTCTTGGAGGAATTTGTAGTTGTACGTACAAGTGAAAATTTTCTTTTCTATCATCATGTTTTTTAATATGAGATTATTGCTTTGTTTCAATGAGTCTTGCATTCCTAAGTTGAAGTTTTCTTCGAGTTTTTCAGGAAAATTATACTGCTCCTCATATGGTGCTTGCAGCTTCTGGTGTTGAACATGAGGAATTGGTAGCCATTGCAGAGCCCCTTTTATCTGACCTGCCTGATAAAAAGAGTCCTGGAGAGCCAGAATCTTTTTATACTGGAGGTGATTTTCGTTGCCAAGCTGATTCCGGGGTATGTATTAAGATGTTTCTGAAGAACAAAAGTTTTTTTTACTATTTTCTAAGCATCTCATAGGGGTTCTCAACACTGAATCTCGATCATAGGACCAGAAAACCCATTTTGCTCTTGCATTTGGACTAAAAGGTGGCTGGCATAATGTGAAGGAGGCTATTACCTTGACAGTTCTTCAGGTTTTTAAAATTCTATTTATGTGATTTTTGTATTAACTCTGTGTAGTTGAAATATGGTAGGTTATTTCTACCCGCATCATGAATTTTCATGTGGTTTCTTTTTAAGCCTTATCAAATATGATTTGATGGAAACAATTAAGTCAATGTTTAATCATACTTTAGGTTCTAATGGGAGGTGGTGGATCATTCTCAGCTGGTGGCCCAGGGAAAGGAATGTATTCAAGGTTATGTAAGTTCGATGCCTGTGCCTGATCTGTAATGGACCTATGAATTGATGCTAAATATATACATGGATACAAGAACGTGTTACCATTTCTGCATTGTGCTATGAACACCAAA